TTGAAAACAAATATAAATGCATTTTTCTATGGAAGCAAACAAGTAAACAGCGTGATCATTTTGCAGCCAAAACACAAAATTTGAAGTTGAAAGAAAAGATTGTTCTTTTAACTCCTAAAGAAGACATAGACTTTTTTTTCTCTATTTATTTATTTTAACCAAATAAAACAAATACTGTGACATAAATTAGCATAGTGTTTAATGTTAGTATAGCATTTTACAAAAAGGAACATCAGAGGTTTTCCAACAGGGAAAGCCTGTTGGAGTAATGGCATAATACTATTACATTATAATGTCTCCTTTTTGCTCATCATTTTTTTAAAGTATCCCTTTTAGGCTGAAACTTTCCAGAAGTGAGACCCAGCCAAGGACAATTCAGGAAGAAGAAAGGTAAATTGTGTCCATTTACCCTTTTATGGGGAAAGCAACCATATAACCACAACCACACCTCTCACCTTCATGGGCTCATTATAATTTGACTTATAAGAAACACATTTCTATGTGGCTATTTCTTAATGATTATAGTTTTGTTCAAATACGGTACCACATAACAAGGAATTGAAAAAAATTCCAGAAATGATTTTAATTTTTATTTGGAACATTCCATTAGAATAACATCAAGAAATATAAAATGTGAACAAATTGAACTCTATTCTTTTAGGTTCTGTGTTGTGTGAGCTTTCACCTTCCTTCTGAACGGAGAAGCTATAGTAGTCAAAGGAACAAACAGCCAAAGCACCCAGATGACTAGAAGTTAGTTTTCCTCCTGGGGATGGTAGCTTTGGTTAGGAAGAAGAAAAATGTATATAAATTTGTAAGAATGAAACATAAAGCTAGAAACGTGTCTTCCAACTACAAAAAAAAAAAAAAAAGAAAGAAAGAAAGAAAGAAAGAAACGCAACAAACAAAACAAAACTTGGAAAAGCCCCTTTGTTCTTTAATTATTACAAAATAAACAGATCTCTAGGGTCTCTGAAAAACAGCGGGGATTTGGTGGTATTTATACCTAGAAAAACAGAAAACGGAGGTAGCAGACAAGCTATTCTAATTATAGTTATACTTGCATTTATAGCTATTCTATTTTTCATTTTCCTAACAGATCAGAAGCCTTAAATAACCCCAAAGAGGCTAAGTAGCTAGAGCTTTAGTAAATGACTTCCATAAATTTAGAGACTATATTAATAGCATTTTCATGCAATCTTAGGGGTCACTAATGAGAATCTGTAAATGCTCTTTGTTGAATAAACAAAAACTTGCAGATGTCCAGTTTGCAGGCTACAGATCCAGATGTGATATTGTGCTTCTAGAGAGTTTTAGTCTTTTCTTTCTTAAGGTTTCCAAACCTTGACACTACTGCTTAGATCTATCTACAGGCATGAAGAAGGTCTACTTGCTTCAGGGAAGGCTGCCAGTAAGTCCTGATTTCTTTTTCTGAAGTGGTTCTTTACCTAAGTATGTATCCAAATCACCTGAGGGTATTTGTTAGTATGTAGCTAATATGTAGCTTCTTGGACTGGATCCTAGCAGTCCTTTTCTCTCCCTTTTTTTCTTTTTTCCTTTTTTGCCAGGAGCGGGGAGTGTCTGGAGCAGAGCATAGGAATCTGCACTTTTAATACACATCCCTATGGATCTGACACAGGGGAAATCATACACCAAGAAACGCTGTCCTAATGTTTCAAAGGGATTCAAAATTATTTTCTAGATACAAATATTATTTTTTCTTTTGAAAGATAATGGGCTTCAAAGAATAGCCAAAGGTTATGAACTCAAGTCTGTTACAGAACCAGGAAGTATCTCTTCCCTCCTTTCTGAAATTAGTCTTGAACTTCACCATGACAGCTTCTGGTGTGTTATTTAAATTAACCCTGGTATTGTTATTAAACTTTCCAGATGGTTCTGTTTATCTACCCAAGTAGAAGGTGTGCTCCTAGGAGGCGAAAACTATGCATACATATATAAATATATTTTTTAAACATTATCTAGCATGCCTAATAAATATTTATTAGGCCCTCAATAAACATTTTAATTTTAATTCAAATGCAACCTAAGTCGCTTTAAAAATCTGCTTTAACTTCTGAGACCTGAAGCCACCTCTCTCATGAATACTGCTTCAAACCCTGTTGTTTCATTATCCCCTTGCACAGTAGAAAATGGAGGCCACACCTAATATTCATTAGAAATTGGCAACTGTGCACTTAGGCTCCGTTATTTAGCCACAAGGAAAAGGCAGAGCCACAGTAATAGCTTTGACTGATTCCTTGGCAAGGGAAGCCAAGCCCTTGGGGTGCTCCAGACTCTCTTTGGCCTATAAACCTGTTTAAAAACCTGTTTCTCAGAATTTAAGGCTTAGCTCAATTGGGGTCAGTATTATAGTAATGTCAATAATTCTGCTCTCAGCTTTCAGGCAGACCAGTACAATTCATCATCAACTTCATTTTCATGGAAAGGCAACTTTTGGGAAAATAGCTCTAACTGAAGCTATTTTATTTTGATTTTTCTTTCCCTTAAGAAATAGTTGTGCAGTGGGTTAAGCCACTGCCTTCCGCTCAGGTCATGATCTCAGAGTCCTGGGATCGAGCCCCACATCGGGCTCTCTGCTCAGCAGGGAGCCTGCTTCCTCCTCTCTCTCTGCCTGCCTCTCTGCCTGCTTGTGATCTCTCTGTCAAATAAATAAATAAAAATCTTTAAAAAAAAAAAAAAGAAATAGTTGTGCAAATATTACTTAGCTTGGATTTCGTGCTCTCTAAACCTTAGCACCTTCCAGTGCTTGAAATTATTCCCTAAAATTGGAATAGTGATGAATACACAAGATTGGGACATCCACCAAGGCAATAACCCAAGGCTTTCAGAAAAAGATCAAATAAGTCATTGGGTCTGAAAGTCATTTTCAGTAACTGAGACATCATGGTGTTTCAGAATCACCTCTGCCTTTAGCTGTTTTTAGGGGGGTTGGTACTAGGCAACACTGCCAAGAGGAATACTCTGGCAGGGTCTATTTCTTTCTCTTAGAAGTCAAAAGCCTTAATAAAAATAAAGCAGTGTTCACTCCCACTGAACAGACAGCTCCATTTTTGGTCAACTGTTAGGAGCATGTGCCAAAGTAAATTAATTACATCTGCTCCTGGTAGGGAACTCCATTCCTGAGGTTGTAGTTGGAGTGATGGCCAAAGGTGCTACTTGTGCACTTGTTGTGAGGTTTCTCTCTTTTAATTCTAGAAATTGAAGAAGGAGAACGGCTCAGGATAGACATTTCTTGGATCAGATCTTGCCACTAGACTAAGGTAGGAAACATTCATCCATACCCAGGATAACACCATTTTTTCTCCATAGGAAAACAATTATCTGTATATTTAGATGTTGCTCCTAATACAGGAATTTATTAAGGTGGATACAGCTTTAAACTTTAAAGTTTCTCTGAACTGATTTCTAACATTGAACTAAGCTGCTAATGGTGGAGAAATAATGAGCTGGAGCTACTTGTCACCTACCATCTTTAAGAGTTACCTGGGCATGTTAAGTTCCTCGTGGGCGGTATCTAATTCTTATTTATTTTTGTATGTGCAGTGCCCAGGATGATGCTTGGTGTAGCTGAGGCACTAAATAGATGCTTGTGATTTCATGACTTAAATATTTCCATGATACCAAAAATGGGTAAGGAACTGCAACAACTTAATGACCAATAGAAAGTGATAAAGTTAATTTTTAAAAATTCTATGGGTCCTGTTTAAATCCACTTTCAGTCTCGATGCTAGCTTGGAAAGACATTTTCCAGAGTCCAGGAGTCCCCGTGTCTGTGGGGGTTTTAGTTACCGCAGTTAGCCGTGATCCAGAAAGCCGTGATCCAGAAACAGATGGCCCTCCTTCTGAATTGTCAGCATGTATAGGAAAAAGCTTTATATATACAGGGTTTGGTAGTCTCCAAGTTCCAGACATCCTCTGGCAGGTTTTGGTACATATCTCCTGTGGCTAAGGTGGGGGGAGGGGGAGATACTGCAGTCTCAGTCTCCTGATTTCACTTTAATTCAGCTACCACTCTCTTGGGCCACATTAGGACCCCAATTTTTGTCTCCCTACAATAGTGTCTATAAGGCGGGAATGTGCTAGACACTCAGACTGGTTGGCATGCTTTGATTTAGATATCACAGCTCTCTCTGGTTTAATCTTTGACAATGAATAATCCTTAGAAATGAAAGACTATAGTGGAACCACTAGGTAAGAAATGAAGTAGGGCAGAAATTTTGGCTTTAAGCTGCATGTGGTAGAACACGATATATACAGTAAGATGCCAATTTCTTTTAAAAGAATCAACCCAAACCCATGTCCAAATTAATGCAGATAAATAAAATCAGAAAAAAAAAAAGCCAGCTGTGGTTATTAATACATGGTCAAGCAAAGAGTTAATACATGGAGTAGCAAGGGTTTTTTATCTTATTTGTGCTTCCTTATATTTTTCAGATTTTTACAGTGAATAGTTTCTTCAGATTAAAAAAAGATATATATTATGTAGCACCAAGACTTTAGGGATGAGGAAGGAAGTCATGATTAATTCTTCTGAAATTAACTAACAGGGTCTGACCTGTCCTCACCAATCTCCCCTCTTTCCCCACAGTGAATCTAGGGGAAGGGGAGAGCCATGCAGAGAGCCATGGGACCTTCACTAACTTTATTTTTCTACATGTTCCAATGCTGTCTCATGTGGGGGCAGGCAGGTAACAACAGCTTTAAGAAGGGCTTTTTCTTCCACATTTCATTTTTTGATATTGCATTTTTCTCTCTCTACAGAGCCCCGAATCATCCCTGATGTTATTTTTAGTCATGCTCAGAGGGGGGCAGGAAAAAGTCAATCAGGGTTTCTGGCATGTCAGCTTTTCATAAAGGGAACACAAAGTAGAGCTCCCAGCAAGCTTCATCAAATGTAGGATTTATGTGGGAACTTTCATCTACATCCAGTTAAAATGTTCCCTGCTAGGCATGGAAATCATCGTTTGAAAAAGCCTTACTTTAAGGACTGGATACAGTGGCTCAAATGTTGCTTCAGCTCTTCTTCCTTTTCATAGGATTCCAGTATGCTGTGTGCCTCATCATGGTGGTAGCAGTAGATTTTATAAATCTCTTCCAGTGGTCCTTTAATCTGCAAGAATACTTCTCCTGATAAATGCAAGACAAAGGCAAAATGACGTCAAGTCAAACCAAATGGACACTCTACATATTTATTCTTGGGCAATGTGATCAGTATTAGCAAGTTGGATACGTTCCATTTTATCCCCAGGTTTCTCAGAAGGGGTAGACAACA